TCACATATGCAGAATCATAGAAGGATCATCTAGTCCGCTCCCACGCAATACAGGAATCTTTTTCCTCGACGTGGGACTCAAACACACAACCCTGAGCTACATTAGTAAAAAAAACACATTTTGAATTCATTACAAACATGCAACACCAGATGGCGCCAGAGAGCAAAGAAAATTCTAGGCGATTTTTACATAGCGTTTTTTTCTTTTGTTATAATGATTTAATTTCTGACTTATTTATAGCATTTTCTTCCTGTGTGTAGATCTGCCCTAAGAGTCTCATGCTCTACTGACAGAGTTATCTGAGTGTGGGATTCCCAACAGCATCTAGCTGGCCGCTGAACACGGGTGCAGCCAAGGTGGGGCAGAGGGGCAGCTGTTTCCCCCAACCAAGTAAATCAATAAAAATACTGAGCTAACTGAGGTTCTGCCTCCCCCAACATAAAGCCTGCCTCCCTAAAATAAATCCCAGCTACTCCCATGCCACAGAATGGGATGCCAAACTAAATGATCCTTTCACCTGATCCAGAAGGGCTCTGCATATGTTTTCATATACATGACTCTCCTAACATTCAGCATCAACGGATGACCCCCAGGTTCTTCTGTTATGAGAGGAAGAGAAAAACCTCTCTCTCTCCCCATGTTCTCTACACCCTGTGAACATACTGACTCCCGGAGAGACGAGTTCATACAGTGGTACCTCAGGTTACATACGCTTCAGGTTACATACGCTTCAAGTTGCAGACTCCGCTAACCCAGAAATAGTACCTCGGGTTGAGAACTTTGCTTCAGGATGAGAACAGAAATCGTGCTCCGGCAGCGCGGCAGCAGGAGGAGGCCCCATTAGCTAAAGTGGTGCTTCAGGTTAAGAACAGTTTCAGGTTAAGTACGGACCTCCGGAACGAATTAAGTACTTAACCTGAGGTACCACTGTACCTGCTTGGCTTTGCCTTAGTATGTCCTCTGAACATACAAGTCCTGGCCAAAGTCTCTCCTCTTTAACCACAACCTGTAACCATAGGGCAAATCTCAAGCTACACGTTGTGGTTAAGAGGAAGGGAACTTAGCCATGATCCCAGGAAGGAGCCTTGCAAAGGTCCCAGGTTCAATACTGGGCATCTCCAGGTAAGGCTTGGAAAAACTCCTGCCTGAAAACCCTGGAACACTGCTGCCAGTCAGAGCACACAATATTATGTTTGGACGACACACTAAGCCAAGCCTTGGTTTGTTGTTTAGTCGTTTAGTCGTGTCCGACTCTTCATGACCCCATGGACCAGAGCATGCCAGGCACTCCTGTCTTCCACTGCCTCCCGCAGTTTGGTCAAACTCATGCTGGTAGCTTCGAGAACACTGTCCAACCATCTCGTCCTCTGTCATCCCCTTCTCCTTGTGCCCTCCATCTTTCCCAACATCAGGGTCTTTTCCAGGGAGTCTTCTCCCTGAGGTGGCCAAAGTATTGGAGCCTCAGCTTCAGGATCTGTTCTTCCAGTGAGCACTCAGGGCTGATTTCCTTAAGAGTAGATAGGTTTGATCTTCTTGCAGTCCATGGGACTCAAGAGTCTCCTCCAGCACCATAATTCAAAAGCATCAATTCTTCGGCGATCAGCCTTCTTTTTGGTCCAGCTCTCACTTCCATACATCACTACTGGGAAAACCATAGCTTTAACTATACGGACCTTTGTTGGCAAGGTGATGTCTCTGCTTTTTAAGATGCTGTCTAGGTTTGTCATTGCTTTTCTCCCAAGAAGCAGGCGTCTTTTAATTTCGTGGCTGCTGTCACCGTCTGCAGTGATCATGGAGCCCAAGAAAGTAAAATCTCTCACTGCCTCCATTTCTTCCCCCTCTATTTGCCAGGAGGTGATGGGCCCAGTGGCCAAGGGAGCTGGTGCATTTTCACTAAGCCATGGTTTGGAGAGATGTGCATCTGGCTGCATCCCATTTGTGGATAAGGAACACAATCAACAAAAGGCAGGCTGTTGGGGGCTGGGAGGCCGGGGACCTTTCTGAATGCAGCCAGAAAGCCATTTGAATAAATCAACTTCTCCATAGGCTTGGCTTGATCCCTTGCTGCAGACATCCCAATATGATTCCCCTCCTCTCTGCCGCCAAAGAAGAAGAACTTAGCACATACACTCATCTAGGCAAAACTGATTTATTTATTAAAAGTTGGCAGGAATCCGTCCACCTCTTCCCACATAAACACAGAGGCACTGTTCAGTCAATGCTCCAACTGAATGTCATATGCTGATGCTATTGTCAGGGTGCTGACTGCTTGTGTTGCCCAGTGTTCTTTATTTTTTCTGCTGACAATTAGGCTGTAGGAGTGAGGCAAAAGAAGGGAAAAGGCCAAGCTGGCTTTAACATGAAGCAGCGGGGTGAAAATGTGCAGCTAATGTCCCTCTCTGTGTCTGGGCTGGCAGGCATAGCAGATAGGAGCAAAGGCAACACTTGAAATGTGAGTTGGGGCCACCGCACTCTTAGGAAGTGCCCTGTTAAAGCACTTTGTTACCCTGACACAAAAATCCACTTAAACACACACACACACACACACACACACACACACACATATACAAAGTGATATTTTCCTGTTAGGAAACTGACGGGATGATTAATGCAGAAGATGTACATATAACGTCCCTGCAAAGAACTCTGAGCAAATAAAGACTGTATATAGTCTAACTTCCACATATGTATACTTTTAGGACCCACCTCACTTTTGTAATTTTAGGTTGCTTTAAACTGTTTTTAATGTTCTTTAATAAGGACAGGAAGGAGTAGAAAAGAGGGCTTCCTGGTCCAGCTAAGCCTTGGGTTTGTTTCAAGTTCTGACTGCAGGCTCGCTCCTTGACCCTACATCCTGGTTTGAGCTGTGGTCCTGAATTATGCTTGGATCTTGACTAGGGATGCGGGTGACGCTGTGGGTTAAACCACAGAGTCTAGGACTTGCCGATCAGAAGGTCGGCGGTTCGAATCCCCGCAACGGGGTGAGCTCCCGTTGCTCGGTCCCTGCTCCTGCCAACCTAGCAGTTCGAAAGCACATCAAATTGCAAGTAGATAAATAGGTACCGCTCCGGTGGGAAGGTAAACGGCGTTTCCGTGCGCTGCTCTGGTTCGCCAGAAGCAGCTTAGTCATGCTGGCCACATGACCCGGAAGCTGTATGCCAGCTCCCTCGGCCAATAAAGCAAGATGAGTGCCGCAACCCCAGAGTCGGTCACGACTGGACCTAATGGTCAGGGGTCCCTTTACCTTTACCTTGACTACTGGCTGGTCCTGTGGCTCCTGCTCCACCTCAGATGCTGTTTGTAATATATCACAAGATAAGATTTCCCCCAAGTCTGGTATAACTTCACCGCTGATCCACCGTTACTGCATCACAGGCATGTTGTAGAAAGGACCATAGCTCATCAGCAGAGCATCTGTTTTACATAGCTTTCCATGTTCCACAACAGACCACTGATTAGACTTGGTTGCAAGAAGAAATGGTCTCAACCATCCCATGTCCTATCATGAACAGATGGGGCCCTGTTTTTGGTGGCTGGTTGGCGTTGACCAGGATCTTCTTGGTGGTGGCTCCCCATTTGTGGAACGCCCTCCTTGGAGAGGTGCTTGTGTCTCCCTGGTTATTGCATTTCAGGAGAAATATATAAGGACACCCCAATTTTCCAGGCATTTGATGGCTGATTCCATGGAAACCTTGGAATTAGTAACTGTGAGGGTCTTTAAATGTTCCAAATATGATTTGCTTAATTTTAAATTGTACCACTGTAATGTTTTGACGGTTACTGCCATGGTCACCTTTGGGAGAAAGGGGAGGTTACTAATACAGTGGTACCTCGGTTTACAAACTTAATTCGTTCCGGAAGTCCGTTCTTAAACCGGAACCGTTCTTAAACTGAAGTGTGCTTTCCCTAATGAGGCCTCCCGCTGCCAGTGCCCTTCCACCGTTCGGATTCCATTCTTAGACCGAGCTAAAGTTCACAAACCAGGACACTACTTCTGGTTTTGTGGAGTTTGTAAACTGAATCGTTCTTAAACAGGACTGTTCTTAAACCGAGGTACCACTGTATAGGAAAAGAAAATAAAAGGAAAGGGAAAGGGAAAGGAAAGAAAACCAGCACTCCTGGTTCCTTGAAGTGTGAGCGGCAATAAATCAATGAACAGAAAATACTATCTGCCTCCCCTCTTAACAGCCAAGGCCACTGAGTTGGGTCTTTTGGAAAGGCGGGCTTTTGTGAGCAGAGTCCAGTTGTTTGTTACAAGAACTCCACTGGGCCATGAACGAGAAGTGCAGCACAGAAATTTTGATTTATTGTGTTCAGAGGAGGGAGAGGGCGGGAAATACCTGGCTTTGGGGTCTGTCAGGAAAGGGCGACCTGTGGCGGGAAGCAAGCACCGGTGCCAAGTCAGTTCAAAGACAAATTGCTTGGCTCCATTGCAGTGGTGGAATTATTCGAAAGGGCTCCCTAGATGTAGGATGAACTGAAAAGTGAGTATTCCCTGCTGCCCTCTAGAGGGAAGTTTCTGTACCACTGATTTGTAAAATGAAGCACCAAATAAATAAATAAACCCCACGCTGAGCGAAAAGATTCCTGCACTAGATGATCCTTGTGGTTCCTGCCAACTCTACAATTCTGTGGCTCTGTATTTTGTATTTTTCTGTTGTGAACAACTCTGGGATATTTGGATGAAGGGTGGTACACAAATTTAACAAATAATAATGATAACGATAATAATATTATTATTTGTACCCTGCCCATTAAACTGGGTCGCCCCGGGAAGATGGGACTTGTGAATATCAAAGCAGCAGAAATATGAGATGATTGGATCCTTACTGAACTTGAAGCATGGGTACCCCCAACAAAAAATTTAAAATTCGGTTAAATATTTGGAGTTTATTATTTGTATTGATATAATTTGGAATAACTAATATGATATGATTGGTTTGTTAAATGGAAATTTAATAAAATTTATTTTTTAAAAAAATAAACTGGGTCGCCCCAGCCACCATTCTAGACCAGGATCCTGTGCTTACAGCAGCTGGCCAGATGCCTGAGTACAACAACACTCTCCTCTCTTGCCATTTTCAACAACTGGCATTCAGAGGCATCCTGCCTCCACTTAATCATGAGTAGACCCCTTACTCATGTGTTGAAGAACAACAACTCTGGACCCGTAACTGCCTGCTGTGACATCCCTCTTCCGCCAGAACCTGATGCTTTCGGTGCTGGTGTTCTTGAGGATGGGATCTAGGCAGCTCCAGCTCCTGCTCTGACAGTTCCAGAGGTAACAACTTGGAGAGCCTTCAAGAGGATCCTCACCATTGGATTCAGCGAGCCCTGCCTGCTCCTCAAAGTCCTTGTTCTGTGGTTTGTCTGGCTCATCCTCTGAGGCCTGCATGTCTAATACAGTGGAACCTCGGGTTACATACGCTTCAGGTTACATACGCTTCAGGTTACAGACTCCGCTAACCCAGAAATAGTACCTCAGGTTAAGAACTTTGCTTCAGGATGAGAACAGAAATTGTGCAGTGGCGGCACGGCAGCAGCAGGAGGCCCCATTAGCTAAAGTGGTGCTTCAGGTTAAGAACAGTTTCAAGTTAAGAACGGACCTCCGGAATGAATTAAGTACTTAACCTGAGGTACACTGTACAAGGTCAGGGCTAGGCATGACACAGACACGCCCAAAAACAATCTTCACAGAAATGCTACCTGCTGATGCTGGGCCCTGAGAGCATGGTGTTAACAACCCTGGGGCTGTGAGTTCAAAACCTGCCACTGCAGTACTCCTCCTTTTATGGATGAATTCCTGGAGGAAAATTGGCAATCTTGGGGGGAAATAAAGGCAAGAACTAATTTCTCGTCACAGATATACTGATATACCCAATGCTTTGAACCACGAGAAAACCATTGTTAATGCATATTGGCCTCCCAACCTTCCACAGCCAAATCCAGCCACACTATCCAATGATTAAATTGCCAACTTTGCAGAGAACGAGGCTCTCCTGATTGCCAGAACAGCACAATCTATCCATGAGCAATTAGGAGTAATAAGAAGGAAATTAGACTCTTGTTATGTCAATAGCCAACTGCGATAAGGAGGTGTCAGTGAAGGCTAATCATTCCAATTTCAGAGGAGGGTATCCTGGAGGAGGGTATTAACCCCTCTGCAGCACCACAAATCCAGCTCAATGGTGTAACGTTGGAAAATGTCGATCACTTCTGCTACCTAGGCAGTTATCTTTCCACAAGGGCCAACACTGATGCCGAAATCCAGCATCGCCCGAGCCCTGCGAGTGCAGCTTTCTCCCGATTGAAGTGCAGAGTGTTTGAGGACCGGGACATTCGCAGGGAAACCAAAATGCTTGTTTACAAAGCTATTGTACTACCAACCTTACTATATGCTTGTGAAACATGGACCACTTATAAACACCAGCTCCAGCTTCTCAAAAGAATCCATCAACGGTGTCTCTGAAAAATTTTACACATCACTTGAGAAGACAGGCAAACTAATACCAGTGTACTGGAAGAAGCAAAGATCACCAGTGTTGAAGCAATGATTCTTCAACATCAACTTCGTTGGACTGGTCATGTTGTGCGGATGCCTGATGATCGTCTTCCAAAGCAATTACCTTCATTCCGAACTTAAAAATGGAAAGCGTAATGCTGGTGGTCAACAAAAGAGGTTTAAAGACTGTCTCAAGGCAAATCTAAAAAAATGTAGTATAAACACTGACAACTGGGGAACACTGGCCTGCGAGCTCTCCAGTTGGAGAACATCCTTTACCAAAGGTGTCCTGGGCTTTGAAGACACTCAAACTCAGGACACAAGGGAGAAACGTGCTAAGAGGAAGACACGCTTGGCAAATCCACACCGTGATCAACTCCTGCCTGGAAACCAATGTCCCCACTATGGAAGGACATGTGGATCCAGAATTAGCCTCCACAGTCACTTACGGATTCATTGTTAAAACTGTGTTTATGGAAGACAATCTTAGTCGGCTACAAGTGATTGCCAAAGAAGAAGAAGAATTAGTCGCTGTAACATGCAGCCCATTCTTAGTTTCCATATGCTGGACTGGGCAGTGTCTGGTCGACCCGTGTATAAAATTTCCTTCTTTTGCATGTGTGCTTAAATGTTACATGTGAAGTACACCCTGCAGGTGTGAAGTCAAACTGCTGCATTAGCAGAACCCAAGTGACTTCCCCAGGGTACAAGCCTGGGAAGTGTACATGGAGGTCCTGAGCTGCCCAGTCATGGTCTTGCTGATGTGGTCCAAAGGAAAGCGAGCAATGCATTTGGGACCAGCTAGGCTGCAGGAGTCGCCAGGAGGCGTACAAGGCACCATCCAACTATCTTAGGGACTCCACTCTGGATCTGGGTATGGTTTACTCCTTAGACTTTTCCTCTCCTGAAAATTTTTTCCTTCTCCTAGATGGGTTACCTTCCCAGGTTGATGAGCCCCACCTACCCCTCGCTTCCCTCTGCAGCACGTGCAGAAACCGCCTTCTTGACTGTTGGACCCACAAATGGTCTCGTCCGCTCAACCCACCAGAGGCTGTCTTTGCATGCAGGGAAAGTCAAGTAACGTGCACAAAAATAGGTAGATAGATGGTTAGATAGAGATATTCATGAAAAGTGTACATGAAAATGCATATATTGGTGAAAATAACATAGGAAACTGTATTATACTAGGGGAAGCAGCTTTGAAAAAAAATGTACATATTGGGCAAGATTGCATGCAGAAATGTGTAGATTAGGAAAAACGCACACTCAAATGCTGAGTTTTCATGAGATTAGTTTTTTTAAAAAATTAAAAATCACAAATTGCTGCAGAAACCTGGAGAACTGAATTTAAGACTGAAAAAACAAGAAACCGAAAGTGGCAGAATTGCCCACCCCCTAGTCAAGAGCACTTAACAATAATATGTTGCGAACATTCCTTTTATTGCTCATCATCCTTCTAACCATCCAGGATGTGACATTATTCATATGAACAGCATAATAAGCTGTTCCTTTTTTTAATGCCTCCAAAGCAGCTGACAAGTAGCATACCAAGCAGGAGTTGAAAAGGTGAGGTTCGGGGACTGGATCTTACCATATTTTGGAATTTCTGAAAACTCTCCCTTCTGTGTCAAAAATGCCCGTGTGCAAAAACCCAGCACACAGCCGTACACCCGTGTGGTAGGCAACCTCTCAGAGATGCCTTGTTGCATGCAATTTTGAGCAGAAGCCACTGGGTGGCTCCATCATGCACACCAGCCCCGAGAAGACAAGAAAGAAAGAGCAAGGCAAGGTTAAGTTCAAGGAAGAATAAGCAAATAATTAATATGAATGGTGTGTGTGTGTGTGTGTGTGTGTGTGTGTGTGTGTGTGTAGCAAGGTTCGCTGGAAATCAGGGACAGAGCCAGCTGAGTACGACTCAGTACAAAGCAATTTCATGAATATAGAGGACAAGGATCTGGAGACCTTAGCTGCAGCTGTTATGAGAGAGCCTAGGATTTTTAAGGCGAGCTTAAGATTGCTCCAGGGACGCGGGTGGCGCTGTGGGTTAAACCACAGAGCCTAGGACTTGCCGATCAGGTCGGTGGTTCGAATCCCCGCAACGGGGTGAGCTCCTGTTGCTTGGTCCCTGTTCCTGCAGTTCGAAAAGCACGTCAAAGTGCAAGTAGATAAATAGGTACCGCTCCGGCGGGAAGGTAAACGGTGTTTCCGTGCGCTGCTCTGGTTCACCAGAAGCGGCTTAGTCATGCTGGCCACATGACCCAGAAGCTGTACGCCGGCTCCCTCGGCCAGTAAAGCGAGATGAGCGCCGCAACCCCAGAGTCGGCCACGACTGGACCTGATGGTCAGGGGTCCCTTTACCTTTAAGACTGCTCCAAGTCTAGAGAAGAAAGTCCAAGAGAAGAAAAGCCCTTATGAATGGCTTAGGACAGGGATGGGGGGAGGATGTTCAGCCATGCACTTGCATGTGGCATTCCAGGGGTGTTTGAGGGCAAGTGGAAGGGAAGTGAGTGGAGCAATGGATGTGATTCCCTTTAACGGCAGGCTACATTTCAACTGCCCAGCAGGTTCTACACACACAAACCTCTCTTTGTCCAATTAGCAAAGTAACACAGCTCAGTGGTAGTGTCTGCCTCAAATGCAGAAGGTCCCAGGTTCTTGGCATCTCCAGGTAGCAAGACAAGACTGAGAAAGATGGGCCAATGGTTAGACTTAGTGTCAGTCAGCTTCCTGTGTTCCAATCCTACTAGGTGAGCAAGAGGCGTTATCACAGTCCAAAGACACATTCACACTGGACAAAAGCACCCAAAGAGAGTGTGGGCAAGGGATGTGACCTGGAGTAAAGCGCTGTGTTCTTGGGGGAATTTCTACTTTTCCATGGAGTGGGTGGGGAGCCCCCTGGTGATATCAAAGAATCACATAATTATATGCTTGAAAGTACTAGGGGGAAACTGAATTCAGAGGATGCAGTTTTCTCTTTTGGGACCTAGGATGCAGGGAACATGCTAGACCCCTTAATTGTAGAAGTTTTTATTACCAGAGAAAGAGCTAGCAACTCAGACGGAGTTGTAGTTCTAAATACATTCTAAATAAGGTTTGCTTCTTGCTGAAACATTTGAGCCTGAGCTGAACGTGAAGCTGTCCAGGGTGCTACCAACTTTGCCTTATTGGAACCTGACCAATTCTTTGCTTGACTTTTGCCTTACTGGAAAGTGCCCTCTAATTTGTTTGGACTCATCAGGTCCTTGCTGACATTGCCTTACTGGAAACCTGAACTTGCACTTGCATGACTTTGCCTGGCTTCCCTTCCCAGAAAGCTGAACTTGTGCCTAGCACAAACGCATCCATCTTCAGCTAGAACCCCATCTGTCTGAGACTGCTGCCTGGAGCAGAAGAAAAGCCTGCCTGTGTTTTGGCAAAATATATCTGCAAGCATGTAATTGTGGGATGTTACATAACATTACATACTGATGAACAGAGATCCAAGGAAGAATATTAAATAATTGAAATGGATTTTTGCAGCAGGAAAACTGTGGTATCAGCATAGTACTAATTACCACCAATGGTCAGGATGCTGCCTTCATCTTCTGTTCGTTTTCCTTTTGCATGGTTAAAGCACAGCATCTCCCAATAGCCCTGGGCCCGTCAACGCAACATCAATATGCTCAATCATTCTTTAGGCTGTGTTTTTGAATCATCCTCCTAACTAGGCCATCCTGCTGCTGTCCCCTGGTGTCGGAATCCGTTGTCGGAATTTAAGAACAAACACTTCCCAGGCAGTGGTTATAGTGTTGTGATGTCTCCTCATTATATTGATTTGTGCTCCCGCATACTGACCTTTCTGCAGGTCTGGTTCCCTTGTGAGGAAACCATAACTGGAATTTTTGGGTATTTCGTTATCTCTTCGTTTACAAATACACATGTTGAGCTGGGGAGGGAGGGGTCAGAATCTAGACAGGCAGTGGGTTTTATGCAGCATTTGTTCCTGAAAAGCTAGACAATAGGATTTCCTCACTCTATCCCTCCATGATTGCTTCCTGCTAGCCATTTCCAAATTCTCAGACTTCTCTCTTTTCCTAGCACACTCAAACTGTTCCCTTTAGCTCTCCATCCCCAAGGCAGGTCAAGTGTGTACAGTGGCTGGTAGCCAGAAAAAGCCATTAAGCAAGTAATTGACATGTGCTGTCACATTCCCCTGAGGAAGACACAGATGATGAAGAAATATAGGCTGCTTGCCACTGACTGGTTGGACGCAGAGGAGTGGTGGGAGGAACCAGCTGGAGGACCCCCAAGGGAACAGCCAGGGGATTGTTGGTGGGATGATAAAGAGTGGTCAGAGGGAGAAGCCTGGGAGGAGGTGTCAGGAGCTGAAGAGGTAACAGGGCTTAGTGCGTGAGAAGAGTATGTGGCAGAGACTTGTAGTTTCTTGAGGCATGCTGCTGTTTGATACATTTCCCCTCAAGCCAGCTTCCATCTGATCTGAAAGCATACGTTGCTGTTAGGCTGAGGTGTGTACATTTGAGACAGCTGTTGCGCATGTGCGGGCGACAGCTCCACTGAATCAGGTGATGCGGACTTGGTGAAGACATCCCTGCCCCCTTTCTGGTGTCTACAAGTAGCATAAAAAGGTGACTTGAAACTCAGCAGGGTGAAAATTACTTTGCTGTGTTTTAAGCCCCTAATGCAGGGGTCAGCAAACTTTTTCAGCAGGGGGCCAGTCCACTGTCCCTCAGACCTTGGGGGGGATTATATTTTTTGGGGAAAATGAATTCCTATGCCCCACAAATAACCCATAGGTGCATTTTAAATAAAAGCACACATTCTACTCATGTAAAAACACCAGGCAGGCTCCACAAATAACCCAGAGGTGCATTTTAAATAAAGGCACACATTCTATTCATGTAACACGCCGATTCCTGGACCGTCCGTAGGCCGATTTAGGTGATTGGGCCAGATCTGGCCCCCGGGCCTTAGTTTGCCTACCCATGTGCTAATGTGTACATAGCCTTAACTGAAAAGAATAAGAAGCTCTGCCCTAAAAGATTAAATTAAGTGGTTGGGGTCTGAGAATAACCATGTGTCATGAGAACCCTAGAAGACAGGAGCAAAGTTTTTACCTATTCTAGCTCCTGAAAGAGTGGTGCTGTAGCAATGGAAGATGATAGCGCTGATCTTTGAGCACGACACAGGGGGCACAAGAAAATTTATGGAGTTAGCTAGCAAAACATGGCAATAGTGAGAAAAGGTTTTAAGCAGGTTTTCCAGCTTTATAGGTGGGTGCGTACTAAGGAGGTGTTTAATGATGTCAGAGGAGCGGGGTGATGTTGTATACGTGGGTTGTCTTAATGGGATTAGAGGAGACTTTGCAAGAAAACTGAGCATTTACCTGAAAGGTCATGACTGCATGTAGGTAGTTAACCATACTTAGATAGGATTACCACTCTGTAAGTAAGTCCTTTGTATATTGTTTCCTGATCTTACAGAACACCTGAAATGAGCTTCCATTGTTTTGCACATCTTATTAATTGAAACCTAAGTGTGACTAATTTACACTACGTGTTTCTAAAGAGAACCCACACCTATAGATCGGAGACACAGAGGCTATGCATTTGGCAATCTTCTGACAACCAAATAAGCTCCTTATTTATCATAAATTACAGTGCAGTTGCTAGTCTGCACAACAAGTAAGGTAAAAGGTCACAAAACAGGTTCAGCAACACAGGGTCCATGTCAAGGGGCATTGTGGTGATATTCGATAGCAGGATTGTGATGAGGAATAAACCTGAGATATGGGACAGAAGGATCACTCTGTTAAAGTACTGACACCACAGGCATAATGATTGGTGGTGCTGTTTCCAGCCCGCAAGCCTGCTCTGATTTCCTCAGCACCGTTCACTTGCAGGATTCATCAACCACAGATGGCTAAGTGACACTCTGAAATAAAAGTGCTTGAAGGAGTTTTAAATGCTGGCTGGCAGCCTCACTTCTCTGATGAGAAATTTGCTGAGAATTTCTGGTGGCAGGGTGGGGGCATGGGTAGTAGTGACCCAGGAGCCATGGAGAAAGTCCCATAGTTAGGACCAAAAAACAAGAGGCAGAACAAAGGAGAAAACCGAAGGTGAGCTAAAGGACAACAAAAGAATACAGGAACGCACAGGCGCTCAGGAAAACAATGTTAGTCCTACTCAGAGTAGACCTATTGAAAGTTGCCGACATGCCTAACTTAGGTGCATTCATTTCAGTGGGTCTACTTTTGAGTAAAACCTAGCTGGATACAACCCAATGTTGAGCACAGTTGAAGTCGCCAGGTGGTAAACTTATTCCGCCAGCAAAAAAATTTGTGCCAGCAGAACACTGCAGCGTGCAACAGAGAATGCAATAAGCAGGCTGCTGATAACTTTGTGACATAATAGATGTGCAACCTGTTGCTCACCAAGTTTCTACTGGTGCAAGTGCTGCATTGGGATTCATCTGTTACATAACATTAAAACTCACCCACCCACTAGCGCAAGAGTCCTTGATATAGCAGAGAGAGCCTTCTGCATACAGCCTGCAGATACTTAAGCCTTTTTATACTCCTTCCTGTTCCTATAGCCTCCATTGTCTGAGATTTAAGGACCACCTTCATCCGTATGGACCTACCTAGGCTTTAAGATCAGCATCAGAGCAGCTCTCTGGCTCATTACTAGCAATGAACGGTGCCTCCAGTCACTATTCTGTAGAAAGGATTCAAACGCACACCAGAAATTTAGGTTTCTTGTCAAGGGACTCTAGATTAGAAGGGAAACCATACTCTGACCCTTCCATCAACCATAAACTGTGTGCTTACAAATGATCTTAGCCTGGAGAAGAGGAGGTTTAGCCTGGAGAAGAGGAGGTTAAGGGGTGATATGATAGCCATGTTCAAATATATAAAAGGATGTCACATAGAGGAGGGAGAAAGGTTGTTTTCTGCTGCTCCAGAGAAGCGGACACGGAGCAATGGATCCAAACTACAAGAAAGAAGATTCCACCTAAACATTAGGAAGAACTTCCTGACAGTAAGAGCTGTTCGACAGTGGAATTTGCTGCCAAGGAGTGTGGTGGAGTCTCCTTCTTTGGAGGTCTTTAAGCAGAAGCTTGACAACCATATGTCAGGAGTGCTCTGATGGTGTTTCCTGCTTGGCAGGGGGATGGACTCGATGGCCCTTGTGGTCTCTTCCAACTCTATGATTCTATGATTCTATGATCTATGCAGTATTACCACCTGCTTGCAAGCTGCCTTGAGAGTAATTTAATTTAAAGGCAGGATATAGCTATTCAAAATAATAAATATACCTTCACAACAGAAAAATACAAAATAGGAATACAAAATACATAATACGTTAATAATAATAATAATAAATAATATATAACCTCCCCTCCCAAGCTCAGTGGGTGACTTTGGGCCAGTCACTGCTCTCAGCTTAACCTAATTCTCAGGATAAAACAGGGAGGGGAAAACCATGTACACCACCTTGAATTCCTTGGAGGAAAAGGTGGTATATAAATGTGATAAATAAATTAAATAAATAGCCTCCCCTAACCTGTTGCTGCCAGATGTTTTACACTACAACTCACATCCCTGACCATTGGCTATGCCAGCAGCTGATGCGAGTCTGAAACATCTGCAGGGCACCACATTGTGTTTTTTATATTGTAGTTTCATGTTGTGAACCACCCTGAAAACTGCAGGTATAGGGCGATATACAAATTTAATAAATAAATAATAAAAGGCTGAAAACTCGGGGTTAGTCACAAAACCCCTGCAGCACGAGGAAGCGATAATCTATTTGCAACAACTTGTGCCACTGATCTTCTCTTCTTCGGATATCCCTCCTAGCTGAGTAAGATTGTCTTCCATGAATATGGTCTTAACGGTGTGTCCATTAAGTGACTGCGGAGGTCAATTCTGGATCCGCAGGTCCTTCCACAATGGGGACATCGGTTTCCAGGCAGGAGTTGATCACGGTGAGGGTTTGCCAAACGTGCCTTCCTCTTAGCACGTTTCTCCCTTTCGTCCTGCGTTCGTGCTTCTTCAAGGCCTATGGCGCCTATGTTCTCCAACTGGAGCACTCGCAGTGCCACTGATAAATGGGCATTTGAACACTGGTTTATCTCATTCACACGTTACACGTGTGGTGTACTACTTCAATATCCAGGTCTACATGAAAGGGACGGGGCGGGGACTATGGTAATAGATGCACCTGCCCTTAGTCTTACATCTAACAGTTTTCCTGTTAGGTCTACTGGGGCGGGTTTTTTGTTTGCCGTCTATTCTCCTCTGCCCTCACGCCCCATTGGCCAACCGCTCAGCATTGTGGGACTATTCCTTTCCTTGGCGCCAAGGCCCTCTCACGCGTGTTGCATTGTGGGGGAAGCTCATCTCCCTCCGGATCTTCTTCGCAAGTGCTTTTAACGGTCCGCACCGCTTGAGGGCTAACGGAAGCGCCTTCGCTCCGCACGGCTTAAAAAATAACAAGTCGTCCCGCTTTTCCCTCACCGCCTCGTTAAAACAAACGTGCGCCAATCTCTCCTCGTAGCCTCCAACAGAAATAAGTCGGGACTACTTTTTTCCCCTTACTCGAAAGGGGGGGGGGAATTAGGTTCGGCGCATGCGCCCGTCGAAGGCGGATGTAGCGAACGGCAAGCATAAACGTGAGTGTCTCCACGGCCCGCCTCCCAGCGAGCAGAGTGTGACGTCGAGGCGGCGCGGGAGGATCCTTGCGCAGGGCAGGTAGGGCCGCGTGAGGCGGGCGCCATTTTGTGGCGGCTGCAAAGAGTGGGAACGAAAAGAGGAGGAGGCGCCTCGCTGCTGCTACTACCGCTGCTGCCGCCACGACTAACGCCGCCGCCGCCACCTTCCTTGCTTTTCCTCTCCCGCCTTTTCCTCCCTTCTCTCTTTTTTTAAAAAAACAATTTTACCTCAGCTCCTTTTTAAAATATATGCCCCTATAAATCTCCACCTGCCCTTTTCCCACCCGCTCCCGGGCCTCCTCGTCGGCTCCGTCTTCCATTTTTCTCCCCTCACACGCGCCCACCACCCAACCGCAACCATTGCCGACCTCGCTATGTCTGGTGGCGGCGTGATCCGCGGCCCGGCCGGGAACAACGACTGCCGCATCTACGTGGGGAACCTGCCGCCGGACATCCGCACCAAGGACATCGAGGACGTCTTCTACAAGTACGGCGCCATCCGGGACATCGACCTCAAGAACCGCCGCGGGGGCCCGCCGTTCGCCTTCGTCGAGTTCGAGGACCCCAGGTGGGAAGGGCGGGCGAGGGGCTGCTTCGGGGGCGGAAGGAGGAGGGGAGGGAGAGGGTCGGCCGAAGAGATCCGTCTTCAGGAACCCGCCGCGGGTTGCACTCGAGAGTAGGCCCCACGAAATCCATGGGCCCGACTTCGGCTGCCATCGTTGACTCCGGGGGGGGGGAGGATTTGGCTCTTTCGGCGCTTGCATGCCGCCCGCAGCCGCGGAATGCGAAACTCGGAACGGCTTCCTTAGCGCGAATCCTGCCTCGTGCGCACGTTCCTCTTAACACGCCGCTTCTGCCTCGTGTTGCACGCTCGGGGCGAAGGAATCTCGACGTCATGTAAAGAAAAACAGCCGCGCTGGGTTATATCCCGCGGGCCCAAGTTATTTGCGCCCGTTAACTTCAGCGGGCCAACTCGAGAGTAGGGCTGGGCGTTGGGTGCCACCCGCAGTTGGAAATGCGCCGTGGAAACGGATGAGCACTCCGGTGCGGGTTTTTCCTACAAGGCGCACATTTTTCTACGTGGTTTTTGGCTAGGTGGTGGTTATTTTTAAGTGGGGGGGGCAAAGCGATTTCCCCAATGTTTTATAAAAATCCAGCGTAAAGGCCACTGATTTCTATAGTCTGCTTGAGGAGGACTGGGAGGCAGGCGGCCAGTTAGAACCATTGGGTTGTATCACACTTTTATTCAAAAATAGAATTGAAACCTGGAGGCATGAGTCCATAAGATTGGGCTCTGTTTCTTTACATGTTTGAATCCTTGGGATTTCTGTTTTACATGCTTTTTATATGTATGTTTTTAATACAGCTGTTTTATTTGTGTTAGGCTGTGTTTTTGTTTAACGTTTTAATGATGCATTGTTTGTTTATGGGGTACACACCACTTAGAGTTTTTTGAAATATTGAGCGGATTTTAAATGCTTTTAAATAAACAAGTTGTGACCCTTATTTTCAATGGATCCACTCTGAGGATACAAACCAGTAGGTCTACTCTTTAAGTAGGACTAAAATTGGGCATAGCCAATTTTGTGTACTTGTTTAAAAACAGGATCCTAAATCATTACTTTTCAGAAAGTAACAGTTGAATTCAGTAGGGCTTACCTCCAGGTAAGTGAAGTTAAAGTTGCAGCCTGTGGTGGTGGTTGTTTCTTTCCCCCCTACTTTCATAGCTCAATCAGTCTCTGGACAACTAACAAATTCAAAGGTTTTTATATATCTTTCTTTTTGTCTTCACAACAATCCTGTGGGGTAGGTCAGGCTGAGATAAACACACTGGCCCAAGGACCCTAAGGCTTTGGGTGATGGGGAGAGAGTGTGTTTATAGCTAGCAGAGCTGTACTTAGAAAACTTCTTTACTACTTCTAGATAATTTATCCTGGCCTTCATAAGTGCTCTGCATATCTAACCAATCCAAAACCCATACCTCTTTGTCAGTTCTTGCACCAACCCTGTTAGATAGGTTAGGCAGAGAAAATGAGAGTGCCAAAGGCCACTTCATATGCTTTAAAGGTTGAATCATTTCCTTGTAGTAGCCCTGCTAGGAGGCCATGCTGATATACTGTGACTGGCTCCCAAGATCCTTGAGCTAGTCACATGCTGTCAGCTTGATGTACCTTGCAGGATGGTTGTAAAGGATAAATGATTTATATCCCCACACAACCCCATGAAGCCCACTGAGCTATCACTATCAGCTTTTTTTACTATTACTCAGCCTGACCTGCCTCACAGGGTTGTTGTGCAATGCTCAGACAGCCTTGGAGATATGGAGGAATTAAAATGTAGTAATATGCAGTCCCATATAAATCTTTACTATGCATTCATAGGATTTGACACTGTTGTTTATTTTCTTGTTTGTTGCTTCAGGAAAGGAAGGTGGGTTGCAGGTATTAAATGAAATAAAAATGGAATGATCCTGTGAGTGCTTGCTTGGAAGCATGTTTTCCTAAGCCAGTTGTCTTCAAGCCTTTTTGCCCCAAAATTCATGTTTAACTCCCAGGCTTTTAGTGGATGAAATTTCATGCTTCACTGTGTATGTGTAGCATTGTGTTAATTAATTGCTCTTTTTAAAACAATGTTACAAAAGCTTGTATTGGCTTACAGCCAAATGTCATCACAATTATTCTTAAACTTTATTGCTAGCCACCTTAGAAGCTTCTGCTGAAATGCAGAGTAGGTTTTTGCTAAAGACACAAACTACAACTTAAAAGTAGGACCCACCCATTTTTAAAATTAATTTTGTATTGCTTCTTATGTCTCAAGGGCAGACAGAACCTCTATACTGCAACTTTTTGTGTATAAAGTGAGATTTTATTTGGGAGAAACTATGCCTGTGGAAATTTCCACTTTCACAACTTTTCAGAATTTATGGGGCTGTTCTTCATTGCCTCTGTTTTCTCCTGTTTTTATCAATTGTCCCAATGCTTTTGAATGCATAGAAGATTACAACATATTACATATTTGTGAGCAGTTTGGTAAAAAAAAAACCATTTGCATGCTTTCCTGTTCATCTCTATGTGTAAAAGGGTAAAATATTTTTCTTATGAATAAAAATTTAGGGGAGGGACCTGGAAATTCCCCAAGAGTGGTGCAAGCCCTGGGTACTGGTGTAGGCAGACATCATTTACTGCCTCTCTCTTGAGACTCAAGAGAACTTTTTACAGTTTTATTGATTTTTCTACATGGAATCCCACAACTCAAGGCTTTTGTACACACATCCCAACATGGTTATACAGCAGAATCTTAAGACAGAGAGAGCTGATCTACAAGTTGTGCACAATGCAGTAGAATAATTCCAAACTAGCATTTCATACTACAAATTGAATTATTAACACTGAAGAGAGGATTAGAGTGACCATCTTCCTGAGGTGCTACTTCAACTATAAGCAGTCTCTGTAAACACCTCACTTGAAGTCTAGTGGTCAGCTCAGAATTCTTTCAGTTCATTCTGTGTATGTAGGACTGTGGAGTTCAGTTTACTAACTTGTAAGTGTACATAGAGTTGCAGAACTTTAAAAGTTCATTTATTATTTTTTGTACTGTTCGTTCTGGTTTTTTAACAAGAGCATGCATATATGGCAAGTAGTTTTCTTATAAAAGTAGTGGCTAGTATTCAACTAAATCATTATGGACAAACCTCCCCTCCCATTTTCTCACCCCACAAGCTCTCCCATCTGCTCTGTGGCTTCCCCTAATGATTCAGAACAGATTTGGGACTGTGCCAGAGAAGGGGGCAGGGAGGGAAGGAAGGAAAAGTTCACAGTGATTTAGTTGGGATACAGCTCAGTACATGTTACTAAAATCTTGTTAATGACTTAAAATCATGTCTTTCTTTTACATAAAAGTAACATTCTTTTAAGTAATTAACAAGGTTTTAGTTCCTGTTCTATTGTGGTGGTCTGGTTCCTTCATGCATTGGCATAGCACATGCAAATATAAAAGGCTCCACAATGCATAAACTCAGGCACTTGCTTGATTTTGATTTTATCCAGCCTTTCCCTGTAGCTGTCTATATACCACTGTGTGTTTAGGCTGGGATCCCTTGTATGAGTTGCTTCCTTGTTCCACCTACCTTTGCTTTGCTTTTCCTTCTCAAACCCCCACCAGTGGGTCAAATTCCATGCTTGACATGACACAGGGTACAGCTCTCTTACTTGTTTCCCAGTTCTAGCTCAGGGTTTTCCAAACTTGGGTCTCCATCTGTTTTTGGCCTACAACTCCCATCATCCCAGACCACTGGTCCTGGTAGCTAGGGATGATGGGAGTTGTGGTCCAAACAGCTGGAGGCAAAAGTTTGGGAAACACTGATCTAGTGCTACACCATTCCAACCTAACTTGTGCTCAGGTGAAAAGTTTTGTCACTCAGGACTGTTGGTTTCTCCCCTTGCAACTGCAAGCCTATATAGGATAGTGACCTGTACTTCTAGTGTCATTTACTTAACAAGGGGGGGGGCAGTGACATGCTGCCCAGTAACAAACGCACAATGCGCTGCCAGCTCTGAGGAACCTTTGATCTATCTTCAGTGTGGTTCTCTTCCATTTTTGCAGGGATGCGGAGGATGCAGTCTATGGACGGGATGGATATGATTATGATGGGTATCGTCTACGAGTGGAGTTTCCTCGAAGTGGACGGGGCACTGGCAGGGGAGGAGGAGGCGGTGGAGGTGGTGGGGCCCCAAGGGGCAGATATGGACCCCCATCCAGGCGATCAGAGTACAGAGTGATAGTATCAGGTAAGTCATTTGTGCACTTGGGAAAAGCAGCTTTCTTCAAATACAGCTTGATCATCTAGGAAGAAGATAATACACATATGCATGTATCAAATGTATTTCCGCTTGCAACTTTGGGCAGGTATATAGTGAGTTCTGAGAATTTGGCATGCTGCAAAGCTTAGTTTTCATTTTTTAAAAAAGTGGTTGTTTGGTCTTGTTAAAAAAAAAGCAAAAGCAAGCTTGCAATGGTTATTTGGGGCCCTAGTGCCTTATAGAGCTTCCTGCTTCTGTTGCCTTTTTAAAACAAAACAATAAGCCTTTGTACTTTCCAAAAATCCTGAAACCTGGATGTATGTACTTAAACGTGTTGTTAACATGCAACTTTCTGGAAAAATTGAATTTCTACTTGTGACCCTCTAAAGACAGTTCTTTCTTGAGTATATGAAGGTCTGATGGCATCAATCTCTGCTGAATAGCATTTAACTGAAAATAACTGTCTCTTGTTCAGGACTACCTCCCAGTGGAAGCTGGCAGGATTTAAAGGATCACATGCGTGAAGCAGGTGATGTATGTTATGCTGATGTTTTCCGAGATGGAACTGGTGTCGTGGAGTTTGTACGGAAAGAAGATATGACCTACGCAGTACGAAAACTGGATAACACTAAGTTTAGATCTCATGAGGTAGGTTTTCCACTTAATGTTTTGACCAGAATTGGATGCACAGGGTTACAATTGGATGCAATAGGATGGAAGGTAAGGAGGCGCAGTCTCTATTTGCAGCGTTAACAAATACTGAAAACATGTTGGGACATCCCGTGTTAAGAATGGTATGCAGGGAGATGTGATGAAACTCCTCTTGGTTCTTGTAAAAAGACCTTCAGTCTGTCAGCATGCCTGCAAAGACAGCTCAAAAGCGTAGACCTTTCAATCGAAAGTTGTGTCTATTTGATAGGGAGAAACTGCCTACATCCGTGTTAAAGTTGATGGCCCAAGAAGTCCGAGTTACGGAAGATCTCGCTCTCGCAGCCGTAGTCGTAGCAGAAGCCGTAGCCGAAGCAACAGCAGAAGTCGCAGTTATTCCCCGAGAAGAAGCAGAGGATCTCCACGCTACTCTCCCCGTCACAGCAGATCACGTTCCCGTACATAAATGATCTTTAATGGTGCTCCTTTTTGTAGAAAACCCCTCCATGTTGTACGCAGTTTTCCTTTACTCAGTACAGTCTTTCTTTTTTAAAAAAAAAAATTCAAGCTGTTTTACTCAAAATTGGCTAAAGTGTTGAATTGCATTCTTGTATAATATCCCTAGTGAGTATTTGCTCCTTAACATCAACATTCCCTCATGTCTTTGATGAAATGTATTTTACCATGTCCTAGGCAGGGTTCTCTCTAGTTAGGTAGTTTGCTGCCCATATTCTCTTCCAATATGGTATTGCTGTATAAAATGTCTTTGTTCAACTATGGTTTCTACAAGCTGGGAATGTTGGGGGGAAATTGTGGTTTAACTTGTCTCTTCTGGGGGAGTTTACATTTTTATCTTGCCTTTTCATGTGTCTTTCTGTAGACATATCTGAAGAGATGGATTAAGAATGCTTTGGATTAAAGGATTGTGGAACACATGTCAATCATTTTAGGATTGTCAAAAGGAGGATTGAGGAGGATCAGATCAATAATGGAGGCAATGGTATGACTCCAAGTGCTATTGTCACAGATTAAATTGGCAGTATTGATCTTATACTGAAACTAGCCTAGTACACAACACCTCCATTGTTCCATTAGTTAGCTGTAATCTTCTAACTTCCATGATGCAATGAATGCTAAATGTACCCATGTAACTCTTCCAGTCTCTGGGGGTGGGGGGCGTATGCTGAGTGACTGCAATGTATCATTTGATTACAGGTGCAAACCATTAGTGCACCTGTAAAGTACAGGTTGTTTCAAACCTGTAAGTATAACCTCAATACTGCTAAAATCTGCATGTCCTCTGTGTGACTGATATAGCATTGCTGTTTCATCTTAAAAGTAACAGAATGAAAGCAATTATAGGAGGGGTTTTTAAACATGGGGGATTCTTTTTAAATCCACGTCTTCCCCTTCAGGATAAGTCGAGAGTTGACTTGCATCAATTAAATTTGTTACCTCCCAGATAGTACAATAATGAGCTTTTAGTTTAGATATGCAGTAGGTGGATAGCTTTAGCAGCAAGTATTTGCAACTTCATAGAAAACTTTTTTCAACCACCAAACCTGTAAAGCGCCATATAGGAATTGATATGTTGGCATTATCAGTCACCCTGTGTAAATACTAGAATGTTTCCTCCAGATAATTAACATTGCTGAAATCTAAGCTTCACAATTCAAAAGCTTGTCTTGGGGAATTGATAGTTATGAATGCCAATCTTTATTATTCAATAGCAGACATAACTTATCATTCTCCTAAATCCTATTTTTCATTACGGTATCTAACTTTTTGCCTCCTTTTTTTTGGTTTTGCTGGTTATAAAGGTTTGGATTGGAGAGGGCTCACTGGATCCCAATCCTTGGAGCTGGATCATTGGATTCAAATCATAATGTGGATAGGATAGGGAGGATCAATTGCAAGGATTCATGGAGCGGGATCAAATTACCAGGAACATAGGAGTGGATTCCTGCCCCAACCAAACCGCATTCGTGTGGATTTTTATTCAACTCAATTGGCTATTCCAAAGATTTTTCCTATTTTTGACGATTGGAGCCCTTAAGATGCACGATGGAGTTTTCATTTTTTGGTAAAAGGAGCAAAGCAAGGACCTGGAGAGGTACGCTGGAGCATTCTCCTTGGAAGGATTCAGCACGAGTAGATGGTAAATGTTAAACGGGAAAAGGGGGGGTTTGTTTAAAAACGTTAAACCAATAAGTCATTTATCTAAATTTAAAGACAAAGAAATTGGAGTCTTAAGATTAAGTAGGTTTTCAATTGGCTATTGCCTTTTTTTCTTTTGACAAAATAAAATTTTATAAAAAAGTGCATGGTGGTTCTGTTGTATTAAATAATGCCCTCTTGCATTGTCTTGTGCCATGATGAATGAATTCAGCCTTTAAGCTCCTTGGCCTGGGAACTGAATGGGTATTTGTGGCCTGTTCATTTGCATTGGATCCCTGTCACCCCATGGGAACAGTGGTGAGCCGTGAAGAGGGTTGAGTTTGACCCCTCTTGGAAGTTGAGCATCCTGGATCCTACATGGTCATGCAGCTGGAGTTCAAGCAATGTAGTCTGCTCCTCTATAGTGGGATAGAAAACATTGTTCAAGGGCTCTCACAACTGTTGGTGAGTGCAGATTTTGGATAACAAGGTAAGACTATTTGACTTCTGTATTGGGCAAGACAAGTTTATCAAGCCAGTGCTTTAGTTTCGTGTAAATAGACCTTGGAATGTGGGCTGACTCACTGTTCCATTGCCTTGCCTTCCTACTTAAGAGCTCTTGAAGGGCCGCACTTGTGGGCTAAAAGTTAATCCAAAGAAAGTACTTTCCTGAAAGATAAATGGCAGCATCTGCTTGAGGCCACCTCATGGATCCTGGTCTCCCAGGCTCAACACTGTCAACCCTGCACTTTGCTGGCCATTAAGTCTAGTTCCAAATGTGGTGGGCTGTAGCACCTGTCCCCTGTGCTAGGCAGTACTTCTCACCGCTCTTGACACATCCTGTATGCAAGTAAAGCGATGCACCCATCGCTCCACACACATGCTCAAAAACTAAGGTATTGCAACCTAACAGCTATAAAAGTCTGATTAGCTGACGAGTAGGGGGTGCATTTTTAAGTAAGGTGAGGAAGAGCCAGTGTGTTACAATGTGAACCACACAATCTCTGGTTCCTGCTAATCTGGAAGTGATGAGGATGTCCTTATTGTTGTCCAGTACTTGCTACGTCAGCTGCTATAAAGCTGTGTGCCTTAAGATGTAGTGCTTGCAGCTAGTTCATACTAACTAGAGTGGCAGGAATAGTGCCGGCAAAATCATCCGATAGGCTACATTGTGATGAAGCCATTTAAGGTAGAATAAGCACCAGTCTCTTGGGAGTTCTGAGGGTATAAACAAGTTCTTTGGCCATGCATCAAATGCTAAAAGTTACCTTTTAGCAGGCAAACACAAAGGGCCCTGGAATGACACTGGATCCTTTGTGTGGTTCTTCACCCCTGTTTAATTGTGTAGCTCATTGGATGAAGATTGGATCCTGAAAGGCTGGGTTCAGATCTCTTAGCCATAGAGTTTACTGGGTCAGGGCCAGTCAGTATCTCCACCTTCCTCACAGCTATTGAGGAAGAGGTAGAGAGGGAGTGCCCTATTTGTAGTGCTTAGGTTTTTGCCTTCACTGGTGCTGGGGAGGCCCTGTGCATCACAGCTGCTTTTTCAAAGTCCAGTAAAGTCCTCTTGAACTGTAATGACTGAGGAACAGTGAGCTTCCTCAGAAATGTAAACTGAAAATAGCTTCTTGGGTAACTGCTGCATGATGAGACTTTGAGCCTTGCTGAGGTAAACAGGATTCTAATGATAAAAGGTCTACGCTTGTTTAGTAATGGCTAAAAAGGCACAAACAAGACAAAGGAAAAAGGTAAATATTCATCAGGGGGAAAGCCAGACCTGTAATTAACATGTGACTTGCCTTTGCATAATAAAACACCTGGGTCTTAGCTTGCGGCAAAAGATTGTCAGCCTCATAAGGTTTCTGGTGCTGGATCAAACACCCTAGAGTACGGCACTTGCTGCATAATAATGCAAATTATAGCCTTCAATAATTGGCACATGATCCTTCAATAATTGGCATATGATCAAGTTGCTTCGTGGAAAACAAAGTGATACTGTGGTAGGGGGAAGCCTCTGGCTTCTCTTAGCCATTATTGGAGCTACTTCTCATGATTTACTACTAGAGAATCTACACTTTTCTCAAGAAACTACTTGGAAGCAAAAAATAAATAAAAAGGTTAATGCTCCTGAATGTATGTTTGTAGTTGGGATTAGCAGTTGGGGGACTTGCAGCCAAGTAAAACAGGAATGGGGAGCTCCTAGCCTTCCAGAAGTTGCTGGCCTACTCCATTATCCCTTTCTTCTGACCATGTTAGCTGGGGCTGATGGGAAGTGGATCCCCACAGCTGAAGGGCACCTTATTGGTTATTCCTGGTTTAAGGAATACAATTCTGCACACTTAAAGTTCAGCTCTTGCCTGAATCCCACCTGCACTCCAGAAACTTTAATCTCTTACACGAATGTGTCTGCACATGTGGGGTGACAAAGTGCCCAGTTGTCAGAAGCAGTAATTAGTAGGTAGCGATCAGAATTATCATTTGCGTAGGATGGAAAGGAAACTCCTTTCAGTTAAATCCAATGCTGCCATTCTGCTTTTGCAGCTTAACTTTTCCTCCACTGAGCAGCCTGTTGTTCAGCCTCAAAATCTCCAGGGGGCTTGGAGAGACTAGCAGATTTTGGGGTGAGCATGGGTAGGAGAGAGAGTCTTATTAATGCAAGCAGAACTTGCATTATTGTATTTAAAATTTTGATCCAACCTGGAACCTCATGGTAAAACAAACAAATAATAAATAATTCAAAGAGTAAAAACAGGAGTATATAATACCACTCCAATGGCTGCAGTGGATGAACCTCTCAGTGATATGCATAATTGCATCTGGTAGAACCGGGGGGTTGCAGTGTCAGATTATTTGCCAGATCCTGACCACAGAATATCCTTGTGAAGACCTTTGGCCATAAGCCAGTGGTTTTCAACCTTTCTGAGTCCACGGCTCCCTTAAACAACTACATTCTTTCTGTGGCACCCTTGTGGGGCCCAGGAGCCCAGTTATGTCACCCCTTGCCTGCCGAGCTGGCAGCCTCACGCTTTTTCAAACACCCTCCCTTGTGCAATGCTCCCTTAGCCACCTCTCTCCCCTCTCCTTGGGAATCCTCCAGGCAGCTACTGCTGCCGCCCCTGGTCTCTGAGCTGCCTCCACCCAGTGCCTGCAGAGCTTATAGCCAGGGCTGCTGCAACTAACAGCTGTGCAAGTATTTGGGAGGCTGGGGCTCTAGAGGGCATCAGAGGAGAAAGAGGGACAGAGGTTTGACTAGTATCAGCAATGTGATTGGCACCTGGGTTGGGCAAGTAATCCTTTGGTTGCTGCAGTTGGAAAGTGGCAAAGCGTGGGAAGGGTGCAGTGGGGAGGTTTTAACAGGCTTGTAAAGAAGTTTGCGAGGTGGAGAAGACCTGTGACCCTCCAGATGTTGCATGGCTGCAACTCCCTTCCCTGACCCATGCCGGCTGGGGCTGGTGGGATCTGAAGTCCAACATCTGGAGGGCCACAGGTGTCCCCCCACCCCAGCATGAAACTTGAGAATCCATGGTTGAGCAATGCTTTTTATTGGGACCTGCAAAAATGTGACGAGCTTTCAAGATGTCCAAGACACTTCGTCAGGAGAGCTCAAAAGCTTCGCTTCTGCCACATTTTCATAGGTCCCAATAAAGGTATGGCTGCACTGGTTTTTACGAACCAACATGGTTACATTAGCTTTTTAAGTGCATTAAATGTTAGTGTATGATCTGCCCCTTTTTTTAGTTCAGAGAATAAAATTGTGTGTGCTAGAGTTAAATGGACTCCAGGATTGCCCTCTTACTTTTAAAAATGTGTGCTGCTTTTTGGTAATCTCTTTGATTCTGTTTTCTGCTTGCTGCTCATAAAAATGTAGAAAAAAAATAAATCGATAAAACCAGGAAATGAAACATGAACTCTCTGGCTGCAATTAGTTTGCATATCGTTTCTGTTAACAGATGACTGAGGCATGCAGACTTGGAGCCCTGCTGGTGGATGATTTGAACTTGGAGCCAGGAGAGGATTCCTAGAGGCTTGCCTATCCAAAAGACAACCCTTTTCCTCCTTGAATGTTTTCAGGCCCTTGCAGAACAGTTCAGCAGTACACGGGAGAGGAGGAGACCCGTTTTTGTTTGTTGGATCACGGCCTGGCAAGCTTTAGCATAGAATTCCTTCAGCATCACTGCCATTGTATTTCCTGGAGTCCATATCCACCAAAGGGGAAGAGGGCATTTAGGCATTGCAGCGACTGAGGACTGTTGAACCCTGCTGGATGCGATTCCTCTCAAAATGGGGTGGGTGCAGATTGGCCTTTTTTGATTTTCAAATGTAGTTGGCATTAACATTTTCATAGAGACCTCAAATTGCCAATGGCTGCTGGCATTTTTGTTCAAGAGCCATCTCTGTAGCCAGTAAGCAGCATACAAACTACATAAGCAACACCAGATCTCTGAGCACCCAGGCACTGCAATGTACTCAGACTCAACTAGTCACAACCTTGTGCTTCTTGCCTGACAGTGTGCAAGTTGTTAAGCATATCCACCATTCCAGACATGCACACACTCTTACTTCCCTCAAGTAAGGGAAGGGAAGTTCAGCATACTGCTGAACCTACTGAATACAAATCCTTTGTCAGAGGTCACATACAGAATTTGGCAGAGACAGGACTTGAACACAGGACTCCTAAAATCCATGTCCAGTTCTTGTTTTCTATGCCCTCGCAACTCAGAAATCTTGTGATCTGAAGCATTTATAAAAGTTGAATTTACTTCCATTACTACCATACTTGTGGCTCTTGATTTCCTTTGCAACTCTAGGTCATGAGGCCTATGTATTGGAGGTCCTAAATAATTGTATTTAAAGCATTTCATAAAGGACAGTGCCATGCACCAGAATTTCATCATGTCACAAACAAGGACCAAATACTTCCTCTTCCCCAGCTGTGGTCATTTAGTTTTGGAACTAGTCCGTTGAAAATAGTACAGCAACTGAATTAAGTAAAAATCACTGGGGCCCTAAAACGACATATTTTGAAAAGCTGCACAATTCAAAGACTTGGGAAAATGCTCTAAAACAGTTCTTAATGAGCTGTGCCATTGGACTCTTGAGATCGCATTCACATTCCCACGGTGCTAAATCACCCTTTCTGGCAATCCTTTTTCACTCTTTGCAAGCCATGACTCCTGCAAAAATGAGCAATGGCTTAATTCCTAGTGACTTCTGCACGTGTTTACTGGATAAATTACACCCCCTCCCCCTTGGTTCTTGCTTAACGTATGGGCTCCATGTCAATTTAATAGCTGCACTGCTGAGGAACTGAGTGCAATGCGGGGACACCTAACCTTAGTTCTGAAAAGTGCGATGTTCTGTAACACTGCTTGCACCCTTGAATTCTGTTTCAAAGATCCAAAGAACCCTTGACTGCAGAAAACCACCTTACACCGAGGTCAGACCAATGGTCCATGTAGCTCAGTATTGTTTGGCTCGCCAAGATTGAAGGCAGGCTTCTCTCCCCATCTTATTTAGAGATACTGGCAACTGAAGCAGGGGTGTCTCTGCAAAGCAGATGGTTGTCACTGAGCTGCGCCCCTGCCCCTAACATCACAACCAGTTTCTTGCGCCCCAAGCAAATGTTCCTCAATGGGTCTTCAACGGCACATATGGAAACCACTTTCGGAACAAGAGGGGTGTTTTTTAAGGGCGGTTTGTTAGAGTCAACAAGTTATGCTAGACTTGTGCAGATGTCTCAAAAGCCACAGTACCCGCTTTTCCTGGAAAGCCTTTCATTATTGTTTACAACAAACCAGTTGAAGATCTGTTTCTCTGTTAGGCCTTCAGTCCGTCTGCAACTCTGGGTTCATGATAGGGATGGATGAATCCCATCTTACTGCAAGTCCTTCACTCTCACAAGTGTTTGCTCTTAAGTCCATATTAAAAACAACCAAAAGTTTTCGTTTCATTTTTTAGAGCTGTTTTATCCCAAAAGATGCATTAAAAATGCTTTATTCTTTATGCTGAGGACTGGTTCAACATTGGGAGTATTGTATGAACCTACAAAAATACTGCAGATAACCTGCTTTCGCAGCAGAGCAGGCTGAGCCACAACCTTTATCCCTGATGTGCTAGCCTTCCTACTTGCAGGGAAGTTTCTGGGGAGGCACCACTTTAAAGTGGTGTAGACAAGATGATACTTTCCAATTGCAAAGAAGTATGGTGCAGCTGCATTTTGGCATGGTTATCTTGGAACATGAGCCAGAAGGTAAGACAATGATTGTACGCTGTCTGCTGGAAAGCAGACAAGACTACTCTGCCTCCCCAGGCAGGTTCCAGGACTCCCTCCCCAGCAGGTTCAAGACTGATGCTTCCCCTGAGCTGTCCTTTAAACAGTGATCTGGTAAATTTCCCCCTAAGAACCAGCATAGCATTGCTCAAGGCATTGTTGCGAATTTTAAAACTGCTCCACTAACTTGCTGCTACCTCTTGCTTGCATTCTAAGAAAAGACCAGGGGCACATTGATGTAGCAGGGAGGGCATTTCTGTGGGTTCCTTCAAAACCTGGGCCAAGCCTTGTGCATGTGTGCACACATGCATGCTAAGATGCATATATTGTGTGTGGGTTTCAGTGGAAGTTGCTTTTGGGTCTTAGAAAAAGCAAGTTTTAAAAACAAGTCCACATTTGCTTGCATTCTTACTCTTCTACCTCTGCTTCCAACTTAGGAATGGGCTGTGAATTAAAACAACTGCTCTTTAGATTCCATCCTGGTTTTTTCTTGTTTATTCTTTTAAGGTCTGTCAGGGCCATTTCCCCACCCACCCACCATTGTCCCTTCATAAGTCACTCTGTTTATGCTTTTAAATTTCTGAGCAAATGCCTGCTTTCTATTGGAGCGGCCTACACATAGTGCTTGATTCCGACAATGGTAGGCCCTTTTCAAACAGGCCCTTTTTCTTTCCAAGAACTCTTCAGGCACTCCCAGAGCATGCAGATTGGAATCCCGTTGCATCTCGGGCTGCAATGTGGTGATGTGCCATCATCCCTGCCTGCTGAACGTGCTGCGGGGAGCACTGGAGGTGGACGGCACGAAATAAATATTGGAAATCTGTGTACCCACAGAAGAGGCAGCCTGCTGCCTCTCAGAACAGTGGGTAGCTCTCCCATTTCTTTCTCTAGATTCATGGAATTCTGGAGAGAGAAAACCCTCAGTGGCGCACAGGGGATTGGATCGCTCACTTGCTCTTGCAGAGGCACACAGCAGAATTGGCTCTTGCCTAGAACTGGAAACAACTTTCCAGAGTTTCAGGCAAGGATGCTTTCTAACGACAGAGAAATGTTCCCTCCGTCATTAAAAGTAAGCCCCTTCCAGTCCTCTCTTGACTACAGGCTGCCTGTTATTAGGAACAGAACTAATTCACAATTATTGTTACTATTTATTATTTTGATTAATTGATTGATTGATTGAATTTATATACCACCCTGCACCAGCAGGTCTCAGGGCGTTTCACAGAATAAAATCAAAATAAAAAACCACGAAAGACATAATCAAAATAAAACAACCCAATAACCCCCACCCAAAAATCCCGCCCACATTTTAAAAGGGCATAGGATGTCAATCAAATCAACCAAAGACCTGGTTAAAAAGAAACATTTTTGACCGGCACCTAAAGGTGTATAATGAGGGTGCCAGGCGAACTTTCCTGGGGAGAGCATTCCACAGAGGGGGACCTCTTGAGGAAACACACGAAGAAGGTCTCAGGGTCCAGGTCGGTTCATATGAAAAGAGGTGGTCCTTGAGGTATTGCAGTCCGGAGCTGTTTAAGGCTTTATAAGTCAAAACCAGCACTTTGAATTGGACCCGGAAGCTAATTGGTATCCAGTGCGGTTGGACCAGGATCGGTGTGATAGGCTCAGACTGTCTTGCTCCAGTGAGCAACCTGGCCACTGAATTCTGCACTAGCTGAAGTTTCCAAACCATCTTCAGAGGCAGCCCTACGTATAATGCACTGCAGTAATCTAACCTTGAGGTTACCAGAGCATAGACAACAAAAGTTAGGCTATCCCTGTCCAGAAAGGGGCGCAGCTGGGCCACCAGCCGAAGCTAATGAAAGGCACTCCAGGCCACTGAGGCCGCCTGAGCTTTGAGCAACAGCAAAGGATCCAGGAGTACCTGCAAGCTACGAACCTGCTCCTTCAGAAGAAGTGTAACCCCATCAAGAGCAGGCAATCTGCCTCCCATCCAGTCAAGGGAACCATCCAGGAATGGGGCTTCAGTCTTATCTGGATTGAGTTTCAGTTTGTTGGCTCCCATCCAGTCCATTTCCAAGGCAAGACACTGGTCCAGCGCTTCCACTGCCTCACCTGCAGATGTAAAGCAGAAATAGAGCCAAGTGTCATCAGCATACTGCTGACCATGTACTCCAAACCTCTGGATAACCCCACCCAGTGGTTTCATGTAGATGTTAAACAACCTACGGGATAGGATTGAGCCCTAGGGAACCCCACATTGAAGGTTCCACAATTGTCCTTACTGGCAGTGGTTTCCCAGGGCATCATGCAGAGGTATCTTCCAATTTTGGTAATCTGGCTCCCTGAGCAAGGACAAAATTTGGTGCCACCCCTCCCCCCATATTTCTTATTTTCACAATACAGACAACTTCCAATTTATGTAGGAGTTACATTTTAAAGCACTGCGTGTTTAAGTGAAATCACAGATATTTGAAACACAGTTGGAAAAACCTGCAAACACCCCGTTCTAACCCACATTCCATTGGGTCAATTCCAGGTTTGATGCAATACACATATGCGTGGTCGTGCACATACAGTATTGAACATGTGCAAATGAGGGGATGTCTGTAATTGAGTAGGTACCTGTATAAATGTAGCTATTTTTTATTTTGCATCTCAGCTCGGCACCCTGTGCCCTAAGTCTGGTGCTGCCACAGCTCTTTCCGGCACATTTTAACCTGGAGGTTTCCAGGACCCCCCTGCAACGCATGTGCTCTGCTCCTAAGCTACATTCTCTGCTCATTGCTCAGGCTGGGGTCCAGTTTAAAGGAAAATAATCTCCAGGCATGATTTTGGCATTCCTCATGCCTTTTGCTTTTAAAATCAGACATGTACACCCCAGCCGCTCTTTTGTACATGATTGGAGCAGGCATCCAGATGTTGTTTCTCATTTGTACCCAGATTTAAAGTGGTTTTATTTAACATTAAGCAGCAACAAGAACAAAGTGTTGGATTGCTATACTAGAGGAGTGTTGTTTTCTTGACTAGATGCAAGGAAGTAGGAACTGTGCAGAAAGAAACCTAATCTGTCCCAAATTCACTCTGACTACAGGGGTCAGCAAACTTTTTCAGCAGGGAGCCGGTCAACTGTCCCTCAGACCTTGTGGGGGGCCAGACTATTTTTTTGGGGGGGGGATGAACGAATTCCTTTGCCCCACAAATAACCCAGAGATGCATTTTAAATAAAATGACACATTCTACTCGTAAACACGCTGATTCCCAGACCATCCATGGGCCGGATCCAGCCCCCAGGCCTTAGTTTGCCTACCCATGGACTACATCTTTGCTGGTTCAAATAGGAAAGGATCCATTTCCTAGGGTTACTGTCGGATGGCGGAAGAGTCAAGTGTGTGCCTCGTTAAGATGTTGGTCACGTATATCATCTTCCTATTGCTAAAGCCACTTAGGAGGGAGGCTATAAAATCGCTTCCCAAAAAACCGTGGCTTGCTGAAGCCATCTAGTGGGAGAAACTGAAAATGCCGTTTGGGTTTGCGATGGTCTTCCCTCTGCCTGATCAGATGCATCGTGCCATCTGTTTGACTGCTTCAACACATGTAAAGCACAAGTTAATAGATGAAAGACAGGGATAAAGTTCTCCAGGTCATGCAAGTCCTTTGTGAACTTAACCAAGAAAGTGAAGGCGAAGGGGCAGAGTGTTTCCAATAACCACATTCTCCTGCACATCAGAGTTCTTTGGAAATTTACAGAATGCTAATCACCGGAGGGTGAGCGTCACTGAAAGCGCATTGAGGAGAAACCTGCTGGATCGGGCAAAAGGTCCAGCATCTAGTTTCCTACAATGGCAAATCAGATGTCTCTGGAAGACCCACAAGTGAGGAATAAAGTCGATAGCCCTCTTCCTGTTGTTGCAACATCTCATAGTCTACTACCATGGGTGGGACATTCTATGGCACGCTTTCAGTTCAAATACAGTGACAGAAGAGGGACGCGGGTGGCGTTGTGGGTTAAACCACAGAGCCTAGGACTTGCCGATCAGAAGGTCGGCAGTTCGAATCCCCACAACGGGGTGAGCTCCCGTTGCTCGGTCCCTGCTCCTGCCAACCTAGCAGTTCAAAGGCATGTCAAGTGCAAGTAGATAAATAGGTACCGCTCCGGCGGGAAGGTAAACGGCGTTTCTGTGCGCTCCTCTGGTTCGCCAGAAGCGGTTTAGTCATGCTGGCCACATGACCCGGAAGCTGTAAGCCGGCTCCCTCGGCCAATAAAGCAAGATAAGCACTGCAACCCCAGAGTCGGTCACGACTGGACCTAATGGTCAGGGGTCCCTTTACCTTTACCTTTACAGTGACAGAAGAGCCCAATAGACCACACCTGTGGCCATGTCAAAAGGGTATAAGCTCTGTGATACCATCCCTGGGTTTCTTTGGCAGACATGGCAGAGAATGTGCGATGCCACAAATAAGATGAACAGCTGCTGTCTAAAATAAAGTTTCATTCTTAAAGCATGGCTATTTGGGAGCATGGAGCTTACTCAGGAGTAAACAAGCATAGCACGGTGCTGCTATGTGTGCTGTACTATAACTACAGCAGGAATGTGTTGTCACCTTGGGGAACAATGGGTCAGTGCTTCTGGCTGTTAACCAGAAGGATGCTGGTTCAAGCCCGCCCAGGGACAGCTGTGGGCAAGATTCCTGCATTTCAGGGAGTTGGACTGGATTACCCGCGGGATCTCCTCTAGCTCTATGATTCTATGAAACCACCTAAACTGGAATGCTGCCGATCAGGGTTTCAAGCATTGCACTGTACACAGGGCAGAGAAGCTGTGCCCCTCCAGATATCGCTAGACTACAACTCCCATCATCTCTGTTCCATTGGCCATGCTGACTGGAGCTGATGGGAGTTGGAGTCCAACAACATCTGGACAGCCACAGGTCTTCCCCTCTCCTGTGTTCAAGCATTGCCCTGGTTTGCCATTATCTCCCAGCTGACACTCAACCAGCTGTGGTTACTGAGCGTGCTCAGGCTTTATTTTTGGCCTTGTTTGCCTAATTAGCTAAGCAAGTCTCTGGGTTCCCCTAAGAGTAGACCTCCCTCATTTTTGCCCTGTTAGTGGTCCCTGTCTGCCAGCACCCACTATCTTCTTTCGCTGTGAAGCAAAGTGCAGTGGCGAGGAAAGGCCACATAGCTCCGTGTTGGAGCAGCTGCTTTGCATGTAGAAGGTCTCAGGTTCAACCTCAGCATCTCCATCTAGGGCTGTCTAAGGCTCCCTTCTTGAACCCCTAGAGAGCCACTGCCAGTCATTGTGGACAAGACTCAGCCATATGGACCCAGGATCTATAACCAAGGCAGCTTCCTATGTTCATAATTAAATCAGCCCTTTAATTCAGACTCATGAGGACTAGAACCATGTTTTGTTTTTAGGAGAACAGCTGTAGCTCAATGGCAGAGTGCCTGCCTTGCTTCCAGAAGGTCCCAGGTGGAATCTTTGGCATCTCCAGGTAGGGCTGGGAAAACACTCCTTGCATAAAAACCCGGAGAGCAGCTTCTAGTCAGCGTAGACCAGTGTTTCCCAGCCTGTGGATCGGGACCTGCGTGAACCTTGTGGAATCGGATTGCAGGCTTTATCACATTTACTTGCACGCCTCAAGTTAATGTTTATCAAACAGGCAAACGTGCAGTTAAAATGCATTAAATTGGTGGTAGCTAAAGACCTGAAGTCCAAAATTCGGGAGACGATAAACCAATGGGGCCAAGTAAATTTGGGTTTGTGGGTCATCATACCCAAAAAGTTAGTATGAAGTAAGAACATAAAGTAGGCTTGCTGTACGTCAGGAAATGTCTTGGTTTCTGGGTGTAAAAATGGCGCCGGGGTTTTTTGCCGAAGTGGCAAAATGTCAGGGAAAACCTAGATGGATGGATGGAAAAAACAGAGGCAATGGCTCCAAAAACATTCACTATTTTGAGGGGAGGTTTCCCAAAAAAAGCTCAGCCATTTGGGTTTGCTCTCAAAAAAGCTCAACAACAACTTTGCGGGTGTCAGGATTTTTTTCTGAAATATGGCAACCCGAACGTAAAGAGAGGCCCATCTAGTCCAGCATCCGATCCACTGAGCAGCCAGTTAAATAGATCTAGGAAACTGGAAATCAGGAGCTGAGTTCATCTCTCCTCCCGTGGCTTCCAGCATCTGGTATTCAGAAGCATTTCTGTGCAGAGAGGCCGACAGCTAGATGGACCTCATGGCCTGACTCAGCCAAAGGGAGCTTCCTGCGTTCCCCTGTCCTGCAGACGAGGCCCTGTCCTCGACAGCAAGCCTGGCATGGGCCCGTGCAGCTGGCCTGCCTGTGTCTAATGAAAGAGGCAGGAGGGTTTTTTAAGCAGGCAGTTTTTATGGACTGCCTCGAGAGTCTTTCATGCTTCCCCCTGGTTTTCGTGGGATTGGGGCAGCCTGCAACTGCCGAGAGAGAGCCAGCCCCCATTGTCTGGCAGCTGCTGCGAGGAGAGTTTCTTGTTTCCAGCGGAATTCTAGACATCCCTCTAAGCTTTCCCCCGCCTTTGATGTGCCCGTGAATCTCTGCCTTTGTCCTCTTGGACTCCAGGGGCCTCCTTCACCGGAGAAATATTTCAGCCGTCTTCCCACTTCGCTTCGCGAGGTTCCTTCCGCAGAAAAGCAAAACCGAATGGGCGGTCGCTTTGCTATCCGTCCTTATTTGTAATTACTTTTTTTTACTTTTGTAATACTATTTTTTTTTGCGCGCAAACACATACAGGCACAACGAACACCAAAGACGTCGCACAAATTCAGATTTTAAGGGCCATCAAGAGCAGCAGGTGACAAAGATCTGTAGCAGGAAGCAGACCCACAGGGCTCAATAATGTAACCGTAACGCATCATTTTATTTTATTATGCTTTTAAAAAGCATGCTGCTGTGCTTTAGGCTTTATTTCCTAAATTTATATACCACTTGATATATATATATATATTTTAATGTGGTTTGCCAAAAGAATAAAACAATATTAGTATCAGCAAAAACAACATCCAAACAATTAAAACCGGCATTAAACTAATCAGCTGTCTAGATGTCTGGGTAGGCTTGTCTAAACAAAAATGTTTTTAGCAGGTGCCGAAAAGAGTCCATTGAAGGTGCCTGTCTGATATCGACAGGCAGGGAGTTGTGGAATAGTTATTGATACCTGTAAAAGTGCCAGTTCCGCAGATCGAAGTGGTGGAAGAGGGTATATAGATTGGGTGACGTGGTCTCACGGGTAAACTGGTCCCAAGTTGGTCAGGGCTGCAATTCCTGCATCGCAGAGGCTTGGATTGATGACTCTTGGAGATCCCTTCTAACTCTACAGCTCTTTGATTCCATGACTGACCGTTGCTGCCTGCATATTTCAAGCCACTTTGCTTTGCTTTTCAAGTTGGAGTGCCCTAGTGTGGTGTTTACTCAAGTCATTAGCTTTGTCTTCGGGTGAGGACTTGGAATGCGGAAGGAGAACATTGCCAGCTAGAGGAACTCTTAGCCGGACCCTGACCCAGACCACCCTCATGTCCCCTATCACATGCCCTCCAACATTACAATGAAAATAGGGACATCCTATTCAACAACAACAACAACAACAGTGTTATTTATACCCCACCCATCTGACCAGGTTGCCCCAAACACTCTGGGCAGCTTCCAACATATATGAAAACATAATAAAACATTAACTATTAACTTCCCTATACAGGGCTGCCTTCAGATGTCTTCTAAAGGTTGTATAGTTACTTATCTCCTTGGCTTGGGGGCGGGGTCACATAACTCCATAGCCTTCAACATTTCTCAGATAAAAATAGGGGCATCCTAAGGAAAAGTGGGACATTCTGGGATCAGATCAAAAACCGGGATGGCTTCTGTAAATCCAGGACTGTCCTTAGAAAATAGGGACACTTGGAGGATCTGCTATCACTTCCTTGGCGCTCTGCGTACCAGGGATGGAGAACCTGCAGCCCTCAATTTATTGTTAGGCTCCCATCACCCCTGGCAATTGTCCATCTGGAGCCACAGATTCCACATACAGATACAGCTTAGGCCCAGGCTCTCTGAAGGGCTGGATTCTTCCACACAAACCTACCCAGGCTCTGATATATTCAGGGGAGACCCTTGTCTCTCTCTCTCTCTCTCTTTTTAATAGATATTTTTATTAGTTTTTGTATATATTTTCCAGACAAAACATTAACATCTCCTCTCACCGTATACAACATTTTGGCTATAAGCCTAGGACTTCCATCAACCACGTCATGGGGAGACCCTTCTCTCAGTCGCAACACCTTCGCGAGCACTGGTAGTGGCAATGCAGGAGAGGACCTTCAGGGCGACTGATCCGAGGCATCGGAACTCCTTTCCTAGAGAGTTCAGACTGGCTCCCTCCATTTTGTCCGTCCTTTGGCAGCTGAAGATTGAGTGTCCCTGTTTTCCAGGGACAGTTCTGAATTTGCAGCAGCAGTCCTGGTTTCTGAACAGATACTGTACTTGGAATATCTTGCTTTTCCTTAGGACATCCCTATTTTCATTGGAGAAATGTTGGAGGATATGGAGTTATGCGACCTCCAAGACAAGGAGATAAGTAACTATTCAACCTTTAAAAGACAGCTGAAGGCAGCCCGGTATAGGGAAGTTTTAAAATGTTCTATTGTGTGTTTATATATCTTAGACCATGGGTAGGCAAACTAAGGCCCAGGGGCCGGATCTGGCCCAGTTGCCTTCTAAATCTGACCCACGGACGGTCTGGGAATCATCGTGTTTTTACATGAGTAGAATGTGTCCTTTTATTTAAAATGCATCTCTGGGTTATTGGTAGGGCATAGGAATTCGTTCATTCCCCCCCCCCAAAAAAAATATAGTTCGGCCCCCCACAAGGTCTGAGGGACAGTAGACTGGCCCCCTGCTGAAAAAGTTTGCTGACCCCTGTGGCTGGGGCAAATATTATTATTATTATCATCATCATCATCATCATCATTATCATTATTGAATAAAGATAAAGGTACCCCTGCCCGTATGGGCCAGTCGTGTCCGACTCTAGGGTTGTGCGCCCATCTCACTTAAGAGGCCGGGGGCCAGCGCTGTCCGGAGACACTTCCGGGTCACGTGGCCAGTGTGACGAAGCTGCTCTGGCGAGCCAGCACCAGCGCAGCACACGGAAACGCCGTTTACCTTCCCGCTATAAAGCGGTACCTATTTATCTACTTGCACTTAGGGGTGCTTTCGAACTGCTAGGTGGGCAGGAGCTGGGACCGAAAGACGGGAGCTCACCCCGCCGCAGGGATTCCAACCGCCGACCATACGACTGGCAAGTCCTAGGCACTGAGGTTTTACCCACAGCACCACCCGCGTGCCTCATTATTGGAGAAATTTTCATTGGAGAAATGTTGGAGGGTATATTTCATTGGAGAAATGTTGGAGGGTATATTTCAGTGAGCTTTGGGAAAATGTCCACTTTTTAAGGAAAGAGCTTTTAATAGTGCTGTGCTGTTTGTTTGTTTGTTTTTACTATATTTTATTAAATGATGATGATGATGATGATAATAATAATAATAATAATAATAATAATAATTTATTTCTACTCCACCCATCTGGCTGGGTTTCCCCAGCCACTCTGGGCGGCTTTCAACATAACATTAAAAACAGAATAAAACTTCAAACATTAAAGCTTCCCTAAACAGCGCTGCCTTCAGATGTCTTCTACAAGTCAGAAGCTCCTGCAGCCGATGGAAGCTGTGCAGACCGCATGCCTCCTCCGCGCTGGAAGGAGCGCTGGAAATGGCGTTTGCGCGTGCATGCATGTGCATGCACACTCCGGCCCACCGCAGCATCTGCAGGATCGCGAACCAGCCCATGCCCCCAAAACTTTGCCGACCCCTGGTATAGATCAGGCATGGCCAAACTTGGCCCTCCAGATGTTTGGGGACTACAATTCCCATCATCCCTGACCACTTGTTCTGTTAGCTAGGGGTGGTGGGAGTTGTAGTCCCAAAACCTCTGGAGGGCCAAGTTTGGCCATGCCTGGTATCAATCAACTAGAGCTGTGAGGCTGTGTCCTAGTAGCCACTTGCTAGGAGAAGCCACTTGCAGGAAAAGCTGGGGTTGGATTTAAGATGAACTCATCTGTCAAAATGGCCTGCATGGGAGAGGGAAGGTAAAGATCTGGCCCGCTGCCCCACCCTGGGATCTGCTGTGACCACAAATCAAAGAGGGAGGAGCTCCTTTGCATTTTGCATATTTGTGAGGGTGCACAGCTGCCAAAGTTATTCCATCCTTCCTTTGGGCTTGTTTCCTTTCAGCCTGACTGGCTGACATAGCTGGTTTTGGATTCATGCCTATACAACTGGTAGGAACACCAGAAGATGCCTTATTCCAAATCAGACCATTGGTCCATCTAGCTTAGTATTGTCCACACTGACTGGCAGCAGCTCTCCAGGGTTTCAGGCAGGGGACGCTCCCAAGCCCTACCTGCAGATGTCATTGGGGACTGAAGCTGAGACCTTCTGCCTGCAAAGTACTACTGACCTATTGTCTGCTACCTAAACAAAGGGGGGCGGTCTAGTTCTCATGGTTTCACATAAAGGACTGAGTTAAGAATGTAGGAAGCCGCTGCATTCCTGGTATAGCTCAGTCAGTAGAGTATGAGACTCTTAATCTCTGGGTTGTGGGTTCGAGCCCCATGTTGGGCAAAATTTCCCCACATTGCAGGGGGTTGGGCTATATGACTCTCACTTGGACTGTTGCTCCACTAGCTCAATACTGTCTCCTCTGACTGGCAGCAGCTCTCCTAGCTCAATACTGTCTCTTCTGACTGGCAGCAGCTCTCCTAGCTCAATACTGTCTCTTCTGACTGGCAGCAGCTCTCCTACCTCAATACTGTCTCCTCTGACCGGCAGCAGCTCTCCTAGCTCAACATTGTCTCCTCTGACTGGCAGCACCTCTCCTAGCTCAACATTGTCTCCTCTGACCGGCAGCAGCTCTCCTAGCTCAATATTGTCTCCTCTGACTGGCAGCAGCTCTCCTAGCTCAACATTGTCTCCTCTGACTGGCAGCACCTCTCCTAGCTCAACATTGTCTCCTCTGACTGGCAGCACCTCTCCTAGCTCAACATTGTCTCCTCTGACCGGCAGCAGCTCTCCTAGCTCAATATTGTCTCCTCTGACTGGCAGCAGCTCTCCATGGTTTCAGGCAGAGGGCATTCCCAGCCTTGCCTGGAGAGTGAACCTGGGATGTTCTACATGCAAGACAGCTGCTCTGTTACTGAGCTACAGCCATTCCTTTACTGCACTTCCACTAGGCCTCACTGCCTGCATCAGGGCAGCAGACCTCGGTCCCCAAGACTTGTTTGTTTTTGTGCAAGCAGGGAAGAGTTTGGCTGCATACATTGGCAGCCTGCCCAGTATGCAGAAGGCCCTCCTTTGCCTCTCTGATCCCCATGTTTTCCAGCCCGGCACATATTCTCATAGGAATCCCTCTTTCGCCATACAGTATTAACACAGCCTTATATCAAGTCAAAGGGACGCGGGTGGTGCTGTGGGTTAAACCACAGAGCCTAGGACTTGCCGATCAGAAGGCTGGCGGTTCAAATCCCATGACGGGGTGAGCTCCCGTTGCTTGCTCCCTGCTCCTGCCAACCTAGCAGTTCGAAAGCATGTCAAAGTGCAAGTAGATAAATAGGTACCACTCCAGCGGAAAGGTAAACGGCGTTTCTGTGCGCAGCTCTGGTTCGCCAGAAATGGCTTAGTCATACTGGCCACATGACCCGGAAGCTGTCTGCAGACAAATGGCGGCTCCCTCGGCCAGTAAAACGAGATGAGCACCGCAACCCCAGAGTCGGCCATGACTGGACCTAATGGTCAGGGATTCCTTTACCTTTACCTATATCAAGTCAGGCCATTGGTCCATCAAGCTCTGTATTGTCTACACTGAATGGCAGTGGCTCTCCAAGGTTTCAGGTAGAGATCCTTCCAACCCCTGCTTAGAAATACTGGGGACTGGGCTGGACTGAGGGCCTTTTGCATGCAAATGAAAGCACACAACCGCTGAGCTCGAGTTCCTTTCTGCAAATAGAATATAGGAAGCTCCCGTATACTAAGTCACTTCACTGGTTTACCTAGCTCAGTATTGTCTACACAGGCTGGCAGTAGCTCTCCAGGGGGTTCCAGACAGGACCCTTTCCCAGCCCTGTTTGGAGATTCAAGGGATTGGACCTTGGACCTTACACATGCAAAGTAAACAAAAAGCAAGGTTCCAGTCCTCATGGTTCTAAACAAGGAGCTGATTTAAACAGGGAGCGCAATCCCAACCCAGTATTGCCTACTCTGACCGTCAGCTTCTCTAAAGAGTTTCAGGGCAGATTCCTAGCTCTACCTGAAGATGCCAGGGACTTTCTGCATGTGAAGCAGGTGCCTTGTCACCGTAGATGATGCTCCCCTTGAAAGCTTCTTGATGCTTTTGCAAAACCGTGACCTAGGGAATTCTCTCTCTGCGTGGTCTTCTGTCTATTTAAAATGACTACTGCTCCACTTTTAAACTAAATTAAATACATCTTTCCCCCACCCCATCCCCACCTTGAGCTGCAATTTTTGGCACTTTCCCCGAAAAAGACCAAAGTTTCACACAGATGTATTGGGGATGTGGGCGGATGGAAACATGAACAGGCCGGCCGGAGGTGCAAGACTGTTTATGAGTAGCCAGAAACAAGGTGAGGTGTTTGCCTGATTTATGACTCAGCGCCGAGGACTTCCCAAGCATGTGTTCTCGCTTCCTCCGAGGATGACTCAGCAGAAAACTCCAGTTCCATAAGCCAAGTTGCTAGCATTTAAAGTTGACGGACTTCTCTGCCGGGCAAGTCAAGGCTTATTTAAGTTATATTCAGCTTGCACCTTCCCTGTGGGCATGTTTCCATGACAGACTTATAGAGGCACCAACATCCCTTGCATGAATGGCTTCTTCTTCTTTTCTTTTTTAAAAAACAGATGACCTGTTTATTGAGAGCGTTCACTCTGGTTTGCTAACTTCTGGTACAAAGTTAGATCATATCCGGAATTTACTAAGCATTTGGTCTGATTTGGTTGCAGGGAAAACATATGACAATGAGCATCCATCTTGATTTAGAATAATAGAATTGTAGAGTTGAAAGGGACCCTGAAAATCATCTAGTCCAAACGCCTTGCAATGTGGGAATATGCAGGTATCCCACACTGGGATCGAACCTGCAATCGTGGCGTCATCAGCACCACGCTCTAACCAACTGAACAATCTAAGCTGACTTGATTGTGGGGTGTTTTCACAATCTTCCAATTTCTTCATCTCAGACTTTTAATTGCATTTAACCATAATTTTCCTACCCACAGAAGTCCATTTCTTTTCTTTCTTTTAAAAAACAAAAAGTGGTTTTGTTGCGCTAGGGTGACAGAGCTCTTTAATCCACTGAAAATGTACAAACCTAAGCTTCCCTCCTGCAAAGGACTGACTCTGTGGACACTGGGGAGGCTAGCTGGTCCATAGGGCAATTGGGGCATTGCCCCACTAATATCAGTTGGCTTAGTCTCAGTGCTGCTCTTGTAGAATTCAGCAGGGAGGCAGATGGGGACAAAATGGTTGGTTCTGCCTGACATTACCTCTGGTTCTGTCTTAACTTCTGGCTCCCTACCAGCCCTTATGGGCACCAGTCACCACTGACTCTAGAGGCACCTTATATAGCAGGTGCTTTTTCTAGATCGAAACTATGGACCAAATTACAGATGTTACTGCAGGATAAATGACTCTTCTTCCTTATTAAAGCTCTGTACAGTGATAGCAATTTGCAGGTTAGATGAGGGTTGCAGGGCCAACTTTCAGACTGTGCTGAAATGGCTAGGGGAGAGAGACAGGGGTGTATTTTGTCCCTCACATTGTTTAGCCTTTTCCTAAATGATTTAGAGGAAAGTCTAATGGACTCAGATGATCATCTCCCAGAAATAGGAAACAGAAATACCTCTCTTTTGCTATATGTGGGCAATGTGACCATCCTCTCTTGTTCCAGACCTGGCTTGAAATACGAACTAAGGAAGCTCTCAGATTACTGTTCTGACAACGGGTTATCCATGAGAAATCCAAAATTTTGGTCTTTGATAAAAGATATTCCCCTTGTTCCTGCCAACCTAGGAGTTCAAAAGCACGTCAATGTGCAAGTAGATAAATAGGTACCGCTCTGGCGGGAAGGTAAACAGTATTTCTGTGCACTGCTCTGGTTCGTCAGAAGCGGCTTAGTCATGCTGGCCACATGACCCGGAAGCTGTACGCCGGCTCCCTCGGCCAATAAAGCAAGATAAGCACTGCAACCCCAGAGTCGGTCACGACTGGACCTAATGGTCAGGGGTCCCTTTACCTTTACTTTATTCCCCTTGTAAATGGGTACTAGATAGTCATAATCTAGAGCAGAATAAATGCTTCCGGTACCTAGAGCTGTTGTTTCACTACAGAAAGTCCTGGAATTCCCACCGGCAGACTATCTGTCAGAAGGCAGAGATGAGCAAACTTGCTATACTCCGTTTATTTTTATCAAAGGTGTCATAGACTTTGAAGATGCTTGAATTCAGGACGAAAGGGGGAACGTGCCAAGAGGAAGACATATTTGGCAAACCCTCACCATGATCAACTCCCACCCAGAAACCTCTGTCGCCACTGTGGAAGGACGTGTGGATCCAGAATTGACCTCCACAGTCACCTACGGACACACAGCTAAGACCGTGTTCATGGAAGACAATCTTGCTATGTATGATCACCAAAGAAGAAGAAGACTACACTGTGAGCAGTTCAAACAAGTCAGGGATCAATTAATTAAACCCCCATTGGTAAATTTAACTGGAAAACCCAAAACATTCCACCTCAAGAGAAAATATTCCACCTTGGAGAAAATATCAAATGATACAACCCAGGTCGTGGCTAAGTTCCTCATGGAAGTATTAAGAAACAGAAACCTGCATACTCCGGATAAAACATAGCAACCACCTTGGTACCCTTTCCCAGTATTTCTGCTTTATTTTGCTTTCGAAAATGCTTTTGTGGGTCTTTGGACTGAAATGAATTTTATATATACACAGAGTATACTCTCTGTGGCTGCATATATGTGTGAAAGCACATGAACCCACCCAAAAGCATCCTGGGGCATCTTAGTACCCTTAGAAAACTACAGTTCCCAGAATTCTTTGTGGGAAGTCATATTCTTTCTATGTATGGTGTGAGTACAGCCTATGGAATTTGCCTCCTCTGGCTGCAACCCAGTACACCAGGTGTGGGGAACCTTTGGCCCACCAGACGTTGCTGTACTACGACTCCCAGAAACATGGGCAATGGTTGTGGCTGCTGGGAGTTGTCGTTCAGCAACATCTGGCAGGCCAAAAGTTCCCCACACCTTGCTGCACACCAAAGAGCCAGCGTGGTGTAGTGGTTAAGAGCGGTAGACTTGTAATCTGGTGAACCAGGTTCGCTTCCCCACTCCTCCACATGCAGCTGCTGGGTGACCTTGGGCCAGTCACACTTCTCTGAAGTCTCTCAGCCCCACTCACCTCACAGAGTGTTTGTTGTGGGGGACGAAGGGAAAGGAGAATGTTAGCCGCTTTGAGACTCCTTCGGGTATATCAAATCCAAACTCTTCAAAGCACGCACACAGAGCATGCATTCATTACAGAGCCGGCTTGCTCATTTGGCGGGATGAAGCATCTGCCTCAGGCGGCAGAAACACAAGCACCCTGCCCGACGACTTCTGCCACCACTGGAACCCCTTTTCTCTCTGACTTTTGGGTGAAAGGAGGACTTTCCAACATGTGGCATTGCCGTTTGTCTTCCTCACAGCTGGGGTAGAGAAGATGTCATGGACTAGCTGCATGCAGAGACGTGGTGGGAGGCACCAGCTGGGGACCCCCAAGGGCACCCCCAGGGAAAAAGGCTCCGAGCCGGTGGTGGGATGATGATGAGTGGTCACAGGGAGAAGAACGAGCAGACTGGGAGGAGCAGGTGTCAGAAACAGAAGAGGTAACAGGCTTTGGTGAGCAGGAAGAGGCTGTGGAAGAGAGCAGTTCAGACTCTGAGGCAGAAGCGGAGGCTGGAAGGGTGTAGGGCCAGGAGAAAGAGATGAGGCTGGCTGCTGAAGTAGCCAGGGAGTCTCCCCCTCCTGCTGTGACCATTTCCCTTCTCCCCTGGTCTCCCGGAACCTGCAGAGGTATGAAGAGGCCAGAGCAGAGGCGGGTTCTGTGCAGGCTCAGTCTATGACTGCTTGGGAAAGACCTGGGAGAGGAGGAGACTTAGGAATAGGGCAGGGCAATGTACATCGTCCAAAACCGGTTTCAAGTCCACATTGTGGTAACAACTTCATAATACTCAATATGGCGATATATCAGGAATCACGATGTGTGCGTGTGCTATGAAAAAACAATTGGGATGTGTGAAAAACCGTGGGCGCAGTCACCACTTCTTTCATGATTCCTGCCGCCCCTTTTGCTCTGTATTATAGAATAAAAGTTGTAACAATACAACATAAGTAAAACATAAGGTAAGTTAAACTATATCTGTATTAGACCCCTAAGTAGCTGATGTTATCACCAGCTAAACATCGCAATACAGTTGTACCTTGGTTTTCAAACAGCTTAGTTCTCAAATGTTTTGGCTCCCGAACGCTGCAAACCCGAAAGTGACTGTTCCAGTTTGCGAACTATTTTCAGAAGCCAAACGTCCGGAGTGGCTTCCGCAGCTTCCAATTGGCTGCAGGAGCTTCCTGCAGCCAATCAGAAGCCGTGCTTTGGTTTCTGAATGTTTTGGAAGTCAAATAGACTTCTGGAACGGATTCCGTTCGGCTTCCAAGGTATGACTGTACTCATATACAGTGGTACCTTGGGTTAAGAACTTAATTTGTTCTGGAGGTCCGTTCTTAACCTGAAACTGTTCTTAACCTGAGGTACTAATGGGGCCTCCTGCCGCCACCGCCGCATGATTTCTGTTCTCATCCTGAAGCAAAGTTCTTAACCCGAGGTCCTATTTCTGGGTTAGCGGAGTCTGTAACCTGAAACGTCTGTAACCTGAAGTGTCTGTAACCTGAGGTACCACGGTATCACAATGTCTAAATAAGGATGGCACTACGTAGAGGCAAATGGGGCAATGTCCTGGCAACTGCTACTACTTAGGGGGTCTAAGATGTTGAAAACCAGACATTGCTCAGCCCTACTTCAGAAGTGGTGGGAAGGCGGGGACCTCCAATCCTTGCAACAGCCCCGTTGGAGCAAGACCTACTGGGAAAAGTTGGTGGGATCACTAGGCCTGCACTGTTTGGGTTCCTTGAATAAAGAGCTGAGTATTTGTCTTTGATTGCTGACTTATGCTTGACTCCGGCTCCTGACAGAAGATGAGCATCAAGGCCTTGCAGAGTGCCCTCTCGCTTGCCATTTGGTGAGGGGGGGGGTGCATTCCAGTAGTGGCGGGAGGAGGGTGGGACAGGCCCATTCCTGACTTGACAAGCTGGAACGTGCGCAGAGGAGGGAAACCAGATGATCAGGGGCCTTATGAGGAACGGTTGAAGGAGCTGTATGGAAAAGAGGAGACTGAGAGGAGATATGGTAGCCATCTTCAAATATCTCAAGGGCCGTCATGTGGAAGAGGGAACAAGCTTGTTTGCTCCTGCTCTGGAGGGCAGGACTCGAACCAATGGCTTCAAGTTACAAGAAAGGAGATTCCGACTAAACATCTGGAAGAGTTTTCTGACAGTAAGAGCTGTTCGGCCGTGAAACAGACTCCCTCGGGAGGTTGTGGACTCTCCTTCCTCGGAGGTTTTTAAGCAGAGGTTGGAAGGCCATCTGTCATGGATGCTTCAGCTGAGATTCCTGCATTGCAAGGGGCTGGACTAGATGAGCCTTGGGGTCCCTTCTGTGATATTTATGAGTAGGCCTGCATAGGATTGCACCGTAAGACTCTGATCTGTGTGAGTCGGAGTCGGAGAAAACCCAGGCTCTTCCCATTATTGTTAGACTACAACTCCCATCTTCCCTGACCACAAGGGTTGGGCCCCAGGAGAGCTGGAGTCCAGCAACATCTGCAGATCCACAAGTTCTCCTCCCCTGTGTGTTTGTCGAAGAGACTCCGACACATTTCTACATTTCCCTTTTAGATCGGGGCTGGGACGTCTGTGTCTAATCAGCCGCCTGGTTTCTTCGCCTCCCGCTGCTTATGTGGCTTTCTAATGCGTCTCGATTTCTGAATTTCATCCAGGTGGTGTCACGGATTTCTTCCTCTCTTTTTT